CGGAACGTCCAAGCTCCGCTCATCGTGAGGTGGAAGATTGTCGATTTTAGTGGTCGATGATGGCGCTTTGGAAGTCTACGAATGGAGTGTTGCACCAGGGCATGGATCCACTAAGCTTACCAGCTTCACCACGAGTTTTGCGATTCTTGAAAGTATTCCCTGACTGACCATAGCATAAACCCGCGGTGTCTTGGCAAGACCTATAGACCGGGGGGTTCGTCTTGAGACTTCGACAGTATCACCACATCGATCAGCCTGTCACTGAATCCGTCTGTCCGCATCGTTCGTGAATTCTCATTATCTTGATGGAAACACTCGATCACTCCAAACTCCAGTGGTATAGTGCTGTTACCCCCGCTACCCATCCCAACGTCCTCCTATCATTAAGCAAGGTTCCCGTATGCACACATGAGAATATCTACAAACGCAGCTGCGAACAGCTAGGCGAAGCTCCTACGCACTAGCGATTGTTGCTGTCATCCTGCTGCCGCCAGATGTGCGTGTCGCCCAGGCTCATTGAGCTGTCCGACGCGGCCGAGGCCGTGTTCTCGGGGGCATTCGGTGTCTCCGTATCCGGGCCGCTCTCTTCGTCGTCGTCCGTGTTATTGTGAACTGGGGGTGGATCCTGGTAGATCCACGGCTCTTCTAGACTGTAGAGAGTTAGTGAACCGAAACGAATCAAGAAAAATGAACATACCGAGAGGTTAAGCTGGGATTCGCAAAGGTCAAGCCCTTTTCTTTGTCCTCATCAATGGTGCTTCCGCGCCTGAGCAAACCTTGCGAGGGTCTCGGCCCCTCAAAGTCTTCGTCAAGTATAGCCGCATCCTCAGGGTCAATCTCAATGCGGATGCTGCGCAGAGATATGTATCGCGTAAGCGGCTCGAAACGACGCTTAAAGTAGAAGCTGTACCAGACCGTAAACGCAATCAGAGGTAAGACAGCAATAGACTGGACAAAGGCAAGCGACAGTGCCATGATACTGGAAAGTATCACCTGCGACACGAACAGACCAAGAATAACGCGGTAACTGATGATTCTCCAGGCGCCGCCGGTCGCATGCTGAGGCTGGTCCATTGCGTAGAGCAGTTGGTATTTGTAAGTGAAGTAGCCAAGGATGAAGTAAAAGAGGCCGACGGTCAGAATGAGCCAGCCGAATCCCAATGTGCTGTACAACAGGCATAGCATGAAGATGAGCATAGCCGTCGGTAGGTAGAATCCGTAGCTGAACACAGTTGGCTGCATGATTTCGGCAAAGTCCCTAGGGGTTTTGGCGCCCATCCGATAGATCGGGTAGAGGAAGACGCTGCCGACTTGGAGCAGCCTAAAGGGGAAGAGGCCAATACCTTGAAGCATGATGAAGTTGGTGTAGAATATTCCGAGGTCCTGGATCTGCCCGGCAACTTGTCGCGTCAGGGTAGCAGGACTTTTCCAGATATCCTGGATCTGACGAACCAAGTTGGCAACGGTGAAAGCTGCGTTGGAAGTGGCAAAGACAACAAAGATGTTGAAGAAGGTGAAGAAGAAGTTTTTGGAAATGATGGAGAGCTCCACGTCACCCTTGGAGATCATACCTTGCTCGTACGAGAGGTATTCGTAGAGATATGGCACGGCAACGTTCAGCAACGAAACGAGAAGCGTTGGCAAGCCGGTTTCGATCAAGGCACGTAGCGTCGGATATTGGTCGAAAAATCCAACAATGCCAGGGAACCACGTCTGGAAGTTGCGAACGCTTAGCAGACTAGCAATAGACGCAACGATTGTCAACCACAGGACGGAGAGGACGGCGACAAATATTGTAATGATCCATGAACGGAGACGACGAATCCCACGAGGTGCGTACGTGTTGGGCCACATTACATCAGAAGGAGCGGGTGCGGGCTTCGTAAGAAGCTGTCCCGGTCGAGGGTCGATGCGGGCCTGGATTGCCATCTGACAAGCGGCGATCGAGTCCATCGTGACGAAGGCCAGATCGGCCGGGGTGAAGTTCTTCTTTCTCGCCTCGCGGATTCTGTCGTCGAGGCGTCGCAGCTTCTCCTCGTAGTAGTCAAGGCCGTCTATCTTGCGACTCTGAAGTTTGAGCAAGCCATACCATAATCTCACTTTGGGGCGCGGTCTCTCGACGAGTTCGGGGTTGATGTTTTCGTGCCCTGATAATCCACCATTCTCTCCAGCCTCCTCGTCGACTTCGTCTTCTCGAGGCTCCAAGACTGAGGGCTCGGCCTGGGGGTCGCGGAGGCGCTGGACTGACTTGGGGAGCGCTGCCTGTTTTCCGAGATACACGCTCCAAGTCTCTTCAAGCTGAGCCAAAGCCTGCGCTCTTTGAGCAATGAGCGAGTCGAGCTCCCGCCAGTCGCAGCACAGATTGACATGCTCGACCTCGCCAATTTCTAGCTTTTCAATGAGTTTCTTGATTTTCCCTTCGTCGCGTAAATTTCGAGGAATGCCAGTAAGGCGGAATGTTCTGTCGGTGATTGTTGACTGTGTGCCGAGGTACTCTTGACGAACATGTATGACTCTAAAGGTCGCCTTGTTTAGGACGTAGAGGGTCAAGCCCGTGAAGAAGTAGCCAAATGCCAGCCATGCCCAGATGTAGCTCTTTGCCATGTTGAAACTCTCGTCGTCGCCGTCCGGAGCATCCCAGACCGAGTTTTCGTCGTGTGAATAAACTCCCAGAGCGCGAGTCTCCATCGCGATAGAGGCCGTAGGAGTTTTACTAGGTTTTGGTTTCGTTGGAGGGAAAGTCTCAGGTCCGAGCGAAGCATTGATGGGTAGCATCACGGTATAGGCGAAGAAGGCCAGTATAGCCAGAATGCGGATAGCCATTTTGAAGAAGGCAAGAAACTGTTCCCGTCAGATAAGTATGCCGAGTCACGAGTGGTATCTTCGGACTTACGACAAAGGCATCGAGACCGGCAGAGGCGAGGACTTGCTCCTCAGTAACGCGATAAAGTCCCGGAATCCACCCAAAGAAGGTATCCGGCAGTGCGGGCAAACCGATTTTGGGGTCCAGTCTGCGCTTGCGCGCGGCGTACAGGGTCGGCCATCGTGGGCGCAAGAAGCAGAAGGTGGTGAATGCTGTGAGGCCAAGAACCAGGGACAAACCGAGTTGGACCCAAACGTCACGATCGCTCGGTTTGATGGCCTCTGGCGGTTTGTCTTCAAACACCAAATATTCCATCTTGCGTGAAGCAGGTCTCCCCGATTCGGATGCGACTGACGGAGCTGTTGAGTCGCGAGTCGTTGGGTAGAAATTGGTGATGTGTTGGAGAGACTCCAAATCGTGAGGTACGGTAGTGGGTTGAAACAGGTGCTGGGAGCTCCAGGCACGAGGGAGGTCTCCACTTTCATCCGAACCTGTGACGTGATGATGCGTCGGGTGATTGTGGTTCTGGTGGTATTAGATAAGCAACGCCACAGTTTTAATGAGGTGGCTGGGATGAACCAGCGCTTCAGCCACACGAGGGATCGAAGGGCGCAAGTGCGCACGCTGTGCCTGCATTCTTCTGCATCAAAATGCACAAAAAGGCCCCTCAAGAGTACGGGGTGTTCCGGCAGCCCTATAAGGCTTTCCTTTTGCTATCCAGCCATGGTCCCAATTGTTCAATGAGAAGAAGAGTACGCAAGGTTGCGGCCGGCACATTGCAGATGCCGAATGAGAGGCCCTACGGCGCAGCTTACTTTTTCGGCAAGCCACTTGACCTTAGATTTCATACGCGGTGCTTCAAGATACTCACCCTTTACTGTTCCTTTATCTGCAAGACAATTAGTGACGGCCAAGACGGACGGCTGCTCGGCTGCTCCCTCAAAAGTTTTGGCGATCATCGGCCCCACTGCCGTGGGGTGGGACCTAGGTAGACCGACGCTCTCCCGGCTTTTTTCAGCCCTTACACTCTGTTCACCACCGCTGATCCGAGGGAGATACTCACCTCCATTCTTGCAGGGGAAGAATTCAGAGCTCATGAAGTGAAGCTGCAGGGCTTACACAGCCACGCGGCGCTCTGTCTAGCTAGTTCTGATGCCCGGTGCTGCAGGCGAGCTGCATTTCGAACGAGCACGCCGAAAAGCTTCACCGTGAGACAGCACAGCCTCAACGAAGAAGCCGTTTGGCGGAGTTTTCCATGCTATCTCTGTTCCACGGGCAGAGTATTTGGCAGCAATTACCAAGTGCTCGGACGACCAAAAGTTGAGATGGATGGGAATTTCCGCCTCAAAATTCCACAGGTTTCAATGCGTTCCTGGTGAAAGTGCCATCTGGGCAAGCCGCGCACTGACAAGTAATGTTTGCAGTGTGCCCATCACAGACATCGGAACCATGTTCCAGCTTCGTGCATCGTACATCGTGCATTCATACCGATTATTGGGAAGGCGGTGCATCGCGGTGTTGTACCTCTTCCTCGATTCTTTGAACGACAGTGTGGTCATCTGCAGTCGGCGACAAAGAGCAAGATCATCGGGCGCCAGTGGCTGCAGAGACTTGGCGTCTGCAGGGCGCCTTGAGTGACACCGTTTGCAGTACAGAGTTCAGACAGGCATGACGCCCATGGACGCAGACGATGACAACTGATGCGCCCATCTGCGCATGGCCATATATGGCTTCTGCAGAGAACAAGTCTGGATTTGGCGCATGTACCTACAAATGCTGTGGACATACTCCGTCGGAAGGGTGTTGAAGTTGAAAACAACGACATGAGAAACGGGAGCAAAGAGCAGGCAGCAAAGGGAATAAAACGTCTTGCTTCAGTTGAGACTCGGGCGAAACAGTCTGCAGGGCCACTCGAGTGCCAAGGTGCGGCCCGGCCGGGGGCGAGTGCAGCGCGGGTGGCTCTGATGCAAAGACGGTCGAAGAACCATCTCATTATTTGATTGTTCTTGTTCTGGCTGGCCGCCGTTCTTTTTTATAACCGAAACTTCAGCAAACTTCATCGAAGCAAGGGGAGCGGCGGCCATTGCCTTTGTTATCGACGGGTCTGGATTGGTTCTCCTAGTGTCACTTTTCTCTCATGTCAAAGGTCTCAGTCTCGAGGTTCCCTGTATTTGGGTCTGTAAGCGGACATCCGTACCTTAATCGAAGTGACAAACTGCGTCCGGCGACATTTGGAGACGTTCCCAAGGTTCCTTAAGACGACCGGTCCCTGCCGCCGTGGTTATTAGCGCTCGTCTTCCCGCCCCTTCCCCCCCATTTACCCAGATCCCGCCCTCCCTTTTCCCCAATCCAGTCCCGTCCATTCCCGTCCAGACTCCAGACCTCCAGCCCACCGCTGCACCGCATCCCCTCCCGAGTCGCTCTTTCCCGACGCTGTGGAATTGGGATCAGCCCTTGCCTTCCCATCCAATTGGACTGCACCTTCCTCCAAACCGACCTGCATTGGATGCACCTGCCTCCACGGCTTTTGTCGGCCCACAACCGGTACAAAGTACATCGAGAAAAAAAGGAAGGAAGCAGAAAAAAAGAGGGAAACCACTTCCCCGGTCGTTCCACTCCTCCCGGATTCGCCAATCGACCACGAAAATTTCGGCAATTTCCAATCTTTTCTGCCCCATTTCACGAACCCCTCCATGCCCCTCTCTCCTCCACAAACTGCCCGCCGACATCGACGACGATCTTCGAGAGCCATTGAGAAACAGGGACATGCTCGATACACTCAAGATGAGCGAGACCCAATTGACCTTTGGTCGGACCGACGACTACATCTTCATCTCCAAGCCCAAGAAGGGCATTGCTTATGTTGAGGCCCGTTTTAAGGATGGCAAAGGTGTACGTTCTGCCCCGCAATGCTCATTTTCACGAGCTTTTCCCCCAAATTCTGTCGGACAATTGCTTACAATGAGAAAAGCTTGCGCACACAGACAAGGGATGCCAACTGGTATGTTCAGTTCTTTGATATGAACCTCATTGATCTCATTGTCCGTCATCTAACGTGCCTCAGCTTCTCTCCAAGCTTGAAAGAGAATGGAGCGCACCCAAACTCAAGGATGACACTGTCATCTCACTTGAGGCTGACCTCTTGAAGGAGCCAGTTTGTAAGTTTCTTCATTCTCTTTTGGGATCGCACTGCTTACCATCAGCATAGTCCACAAGGAGATTCCAAGCGACATGTTCCACTCTCTTCGTGTGGTTGAGTTCCAAGGCCTGGGTCCATCTACTCGTGTCGTCTCTATCCGCGACGTTGCCATCAAAGTCAACCTCTACGGATGCACTCCCGAGTCACCCTCCGAGTCGGATGATGAGTTGGTGGACATTCTCCCAAGCGCCACTAAAGTCGATGGCATCTGGGAGCTGTAAGAATACCTCTCTCAACTTCAACGTACATATTGCTGACCTTCCGACTCTCTAGATGCTGAATCTGATCACTTACTATCTTGGTCACTGATTAAGTTACTTCATCTGAAATCAGCGAAGGAGACGCAAATACTGTGGCCGTTTCCTATGAACTGGGACTTGGCACTTTAGTTGATCTCCCTCCGCGACGTCGCGCAACGTCGTGCTGCTCACTGGGTGACCTCCGAGGTCCCGAAGAGCGCTCGGCCGAGATCGCCGAATACCCCATCATCAGCTACCACTGTCGGCGATGTTGAAAGCATCGGCTGACATCGCGAACCCGATGACGTCGAGTCACGAGTGTGCATGACCTAGTTGTGTGAATCATGAACGCTCAGTCTAGCAGCCTCGACCATCCAAGGGGGCGACGTACTGTCTCGGTCAATACCACATACAGCATGATCGACATGCTCGACCGCAATCTCTGGCATTGGCTCTACATCATATCGACGGCATCACGACGGCATGCATCGGAGCATTGCGATGAAACTCCAATGCATGAAGCTGCAAAGGCCGACAGAAGATGAGATTCGGCAATAGGCTTTCCATCAGCTCTGATGGCATACTGCTCCCGCTGATGATGTCGTTGTCGAAATAGACATCATCGATGACTTGGATTTACACCAGCCTTGTCACGACTGTTGCTGCCAACATCAAGAGAGATGGGTGCTCCGAGCGAGACCGACGGCGAGGTCCATCAGCTTGGGTGCAGAATGAAATATACCGTCATCAACGACAGTGTATGTTTGCTGACCAAGATCTAAGACCTCTTGGGCATGACGAGAAATGTAGAAGATCGATTAGACTTCCTACGGCCTTTCGACATTTAATGGGCATATGGTAAATTCAGGAAGTGATGGCTGTAATCGATATCAGTAGATGAATAAAAGGAGGAATTTCCGATCCAGGAATCTCAATACTCGCCTTGCCATCTTCCAACTAACAAACCCCCGCATTGTGATCAATCTTCCTCGAGCAGTCCCTTGGGGGCGAAAGCTTTAGACTCAGGGTCTGTCTCGTCGCATTCATCCAGGGTTACTGCCCAGCCGAGACTTTTGTCTCGGCCAAGCATTCAAAATGCAGTGTCCAGAAATGCCCTACCGTGCTAGCGACTTCAGCCGCCGCGTGCCGTCCCTCACCGGTACATGATCAATCGCCATATTGGTTTGCTTGCATGAGGGGTCCAGACCACTCATGGCCTGAGCTTCACCGAGCGACTCGAATGAGGTGCTTCTTACTTGTCGTTTGGTGGCTTGCGTATGTCAGTCGGTAAAGTTCTTAGCGAGTCCCCCCGCACTTGATCTAGACGCCAAGCTGAAAGCTCTAGGAACTCTGGCTTCTATTTTGTCTTGGAAAATGGCCCGAAAGCGGCATCGATCAATAACGGGCGGGAATGGGCGGGCTGCAGCTATCGTCGACACATGCCTACCGTCAAGAGATCGTCAAACAGCAAATTACGATATGTCCTCAGCTCTTCGCTAAAGCCCTTCTGAAAGTTCGATTCAGGCACATGCTATCGGAAATGCCTGATTAACCACCAGGATCGGGATCATTTCCTGTAGTGAGATTTTTGCATCAATGACTTTTGTAAGTTTCGAAGCAGTCATGTGCATTCGGGAAGCTCATGCAGCACCGTAGAGACTGTCAAAGAACATGAGGAGAGCTTCTCGTGAAACTCTCGAGATCTGCGGTGTTGGGCCAATCGCAGTGCCCCTTCGAGCTCCCGAATGTCTCATTCGCAACAGACTTGCCCATTCCCAGCGTTCACAGGTCACAGCTATCAGCCGGCGCTAGGCAAGCCTCAAAATAACATCCAGAAGCGGGATACTCCATCCGAGATTCGAATGCGCTTCTCTCAATGTCCATGGAGATGGGCCAGATCCCTGATTGCAACATCTCGGTTTCTGCCCAACAGAACATCAGGAATTGACTCCTCATCAGCTCTGTCTCGCTCGCTTCAGCTTTCAGGTAGCCACGGGGACCTCGTTCAGCTGGAAGCCATCGAACGAAAGCGTGCATAGGAGCGCTTGCAACAACAAACTCCAAGGAGAGGGAATCCGAAGGCGAAAAGCCATCTCGCGTCGTGTTTTGGGCTTTGGAAAACTCGCATAAATTGCAGGAAGAAGGACATCACACAAGGTCTTTTTCCATCACATCACAAACTATAAGATGTTCAGTCTCATCCTACGAATCCTCTCACTTCCTCTCATCCCATTCAGAAGATATTTACCTCCCTCTCCGCCATCACTACTGCCCCAACCCAAAAAACCACTTCCTCCGAAGGACAGCAACAATTCCCCTTCCGCTTCTTCTTCTTCTTCCTCTTCCACTTCTACTACTGCCCCGCTGGTCAAATCCACCGCCATGTACGTCTATCTCGGTAAGCTCGACTGGAAGCCATATGGCCTGGACGAGACCTTTGTCATCACCTTGCCCAACGGTCCCGCCCGCGCCGGTGACCCTGCCTACCTCTTCTCGCAGTGGACCAAGGACGCCCGCGGCGCGCAGAAGGCCAACTGGTTCCTCAACCTCGTTGTTGACAAGGTCTCCAAGACGGCAAGCGGCGATGATGTCTTCACGCTCAAGAACTCGCACTACTACTCCTGGGAGATCACTACTCAGAAGGTCTATGGCGAGCTCAAGGTCACCATGTCGAACCCCAACAAGGACAAGAGCACCATGACTTTCAACCGTATTTGGAAATCTGAGTCTCAGACCCCCGCCGGCTCCCTGCGCATCTGGACTGGCAAGATCAACTGGCCCAGCTATGCTACTAACGAGATGGCTACCTTCATCGTCCCTGAGGGCTTCGGCAAGGATAAGCCCGTTTTGGCCGTCTGGCAGTGGACCAAGAATGGCGAAGGAAAGCCGAAGAACCCCAACGTCCACGTCGCCAAGCAAACTATCCTTTCTAGCCCCGAGAAGACTGTGAAGTTTGAGTACAACTCCTTCTATCATGTGACTTGCACCTGGCAGCAGAGCACCGAGAGACTTGCTGTTCATATGAAGGGAAGTGGAATCGAGGCCAACGTTAGCCAAGAGATTGGTGATTTCGCTCTTGCTGTTCATCTGGACCGTCACTCTCAGTTAGTATACTCTTTTCCCTCGATCAGGATAAAGCTGACCATCCAAAACAGCGACTTCAGCCCCCCTGAGTCCAGTCCCGACAAGTCCGAGGTAGAGCTCCGACTTCCTCAGACTCAGCCGTCTCTGCCTCGCATCCTAGCGCCGTTGCCTTTCCCGCGCGGACTAGTCAGCACCTTGACTCACGCTCAGGCTTTCATCGACCAAGCTGGCTATCTTGCCAAGTACGCCGAGGATGTATGCATTCATTGGTCTAGTCATTTTCTCATACATTGTATGCTAACATTTAGCAGCGTTTCAAGGCTCTCGATAGCGATCTCCACGCCCGCGACAGCCAACTCGCTGCTGCCGAGGCCCAGATCCGGGAGCTCATCAAGGGCAGAGACATCTTGAACAGCGACGACAAGGTGCAGAAGGCAAAGATCGCTACCCTTGAAGACCTTCTGAAACGGGCCCACGATGATGTCAATCAGCTGGAGGCCAGGGTGACCAAGCTTCAGGATGACATTAAGGAAGGCCACAAGCACGATATTGAGGACCACCAGGAACTCGACAGCTTGAGGGATGCCAGGCTGAAGCTGAAGAGAGAGCTGGAACAGGCTCTGCCCGCCCTTTCAGCTGCAAAGGCTCGCGTCACAGCCCTCACCGAGGAGGTAGCGAAGCTGAAGGCCGAAAGAGATTCCGCTCTGGCTCAGCTTCTCGTCCAGAAGAACCTCA